GGGTTGAAAGGCCGGCCAAGCAGTCTGGAACTTGTACAGGGTCTCTGTTGATGTCAGATTGCACAGCTCTGTGATGTCAGAGCCATCCTGGGCTCTTGCATCCAACTGCTGTTTGCATGTGCTGTACCCAGCACAGGCCCGTTTGCACGCTGGCGGGGGTGTGCGTACATGGGGTGTGCACGTGCGTTCTGCCAGAGAGCGTGCTAGAGTAGCTTGGGGATTGGGAGACTACCTTGTGCAGCTATAGGTGCGGCTGACTCCAGCCTATGTCGTCCCCATGTGCCTGAGCCTGTCATCTGGTGCAGACTGAGTCCTGGCCCTAAGCACCCTAAAGTTGAGCCTCGGGGTCCAGAGCTCTCCCTTCTCGCCTGGTGCCCCACTCCTTGTCCGGCTTCTCTACTCCCTGCCAACTGCTGGCTGGTGGTTAGCGTTTGCTCTGCAGGCCTGGATACTCGGTGCTCGTAGGCCGGAAATTTGTGCGGAGCTGGCTAGCATGGCCTGGGCTCCTGGGAGGCAAGCTTTGTGGGAGTTGGCAGGGAGGGTGGGGAAGCCAGAACAGGAGGCTGCCCCTGGAGAAGGGAGCATGCCTTTAGAAAGGGAAGTCTGTTTGGAAGCGATGAATAGACACTGGTCATTTTAAAGGCTTCGGCTGTGGGCTGTGATTGTCTCTAGATACCGAGGCACGTAATCTTGGAGTCTTAATTACCACAAACACTTGGATTCATTTCCAGGACGCCGGCGGGAGAAGCCTGGCAGGGAATACCCAGCCCTGAGCTGGAGACAGCTCTGTCTGTCTGTCTAGCTCTCTGCCTCCCAGGTCCCCTCTCCCTGCCCAAAGGACGTTGGGGCTGAGATCCTGGAGCAAGGGCAGAGGCTGGAGAAAGAACAGAGACCGCAAGCTGGGAGACGCGCTGGTAGGCGAGAGCTGGGAGCTGGAGTCCCGCCCCGTAGCCCGTAGCCCGTAGCCCCGGGCGGCTTGCTCACCTGTTGATGGACGAGACGCTGGGCACCGTGTCATTGTCGCAGATGCCCTCGGCCAGGAGCCGGTCTCGGATCTCCCAGGCGAACATAGTTGGGTTCTGTCGCTTGTATTCAGCAATCTTGTCCACCACTTTGGGGGTCGCCACTTTGGGCTTGGAGCCTCCGATCACTCCGGGCTTGATGCTGCCGGTTTCATAGTACCTGCGCCCGGAAGGCCGGCGGGGTCAGCGAGAAGCAGGCTACGTACGTACGGCGGGGGCAGGGAGGCTGCAGGCTCCAGAGCGGCTGAGCCACTCTCCCACCCGAGGCAACAGCGTGGAGGGAAAAGACTCAGCATGGCTGAGCCAGCTTCCAGAGGGCGCGTGGCTAGGGCGAGGGATAGCCTGGAGGATGAAGGGGAGGACGAGAGGGACACTCCCTCCGGGAAGGCAGTCACGGGGGAGGGGGGCTGTGAGCACACCAGCGGGAATAGGCGCCCCTGGGAGTCTGAAAGCCCAGACTTTCATTTGGAAGGAACTGGAGGAACAGCACGATTCCAGGCCTCCAGGCCCACCCTGGCGGAGGCACCACCTCCAGCCCTTTCCTACTGAGCACAGAGCCCCCTGAGAACCAGGAGCCTCCTTTCCCCTACCCAGTGCTGATTTTTTTCTTCTCTTGGGGACCCATTTCCGTTCCCCACCCTGCTCCTCCAACCCCCCTCCCCAGTCTGCGTTAACTCTCCCAGAAGAGGAGTCCTTCCCTTACTGAAGGCAGGAAATTGGCAGCCTCGAGAACCCCCGAAGCTGGGCGGAATTTGAGTGACCCTGCTCCGCCCTGGCTCCTGGGGCTGCGGCCACCACCTGAGCGCCCTCACCGAAAGGAGCAGCTCTCTAGATACCTCTGAGTATCTGGATAGCCCCTCTCCCACTGGCGTCCTTGACTTTTAGCCAAGTCCTTGGTCTGGAGACCCAGAGCGGAGGGATAAGGAGGCAAGGTGTCTCCCAGGGGCAACTCTGAGGCCCTCACCTGCCCAGGATTTTGCTGACACAGCCGTGGCTGACCCGCAGCTGCCGGGATATGTCGCAGGGCCGCACACCCTGGTGGGCCAGCTCCACGATGCGCTGCCTCACCACGTCGGGCAGGGGCCGGCCGTTCACAAACACCCCCCCAAGCTGGTTCACACCCCCGTGCCCTGCTGGGGAGAGACAAGAAAAAAACACAACACCCCACAGACAGCAGGGACCGGCCATTAGTCAGGGTCCGCGGCCCAGGACGTGCAAAGGGAGCAGGCAGGGCGCAGGGGCATGATCCCGGACTCCCGGAAGAACAGTGGTCCGGTCAACACCACGCGGCGGATTGGGGATTGAAACCCACGGGGCGTTAGAGATGCGGGAGCGCACGCTGGGCAGAGGGCTGGGAAGAACGCGTCTCGAAGGCCAGTACCTCGCAAGGGAGAAAGTGAGGGAAGGAATGGAGAAGCAGGGTGAGAGGAAAGAGGGAAGAGGGGGAATTAATGCAGGCAGGAAAGAATGTAGGAGAGGAGAGGAAGGGCCGAGCAGAGAACAGAAGCAGCGCGAAGCGGGATCCCGCCTGAGCCGCAAGCAAGGGGGAGTCGTTGGTGCGTGCTAGGGCTTGGAGGCAGATGATTGGGAGGGGGGGCTGTCTGGGACCGGTGGACTCAGTACAAAAGGGTTCTAAGCACAGAAAGGGGCTAAGTCCCTGCCCCTCCTCTTTTGCTCCCTACCTCTCGCATCTATTTTTAATCAGAGTTGGAGTTTTCTTACCTCTTTCCCTGTGTTTTTGTTTTTATTTTATTTTGGGTTTTGACCGGGATTTTCCCTTTCCTTTATGTTTTCTGTATTTATATATTTGGGGGCCGTATTTCCCACTGGTCTCCCTAGTGTCTAAAGTTCGAAGAACGCCAGGTGGAGGAGGGAAGGCTGAAGAGGCAGGGGCCCGGAGCCCGCTGCGCTCAGAGACTGGGAGGCAGCGGAGAGCGGCCGGGCGCTCTGCTCGGTAACAGCCAGAGAACGCAGGCTGCAGGGGCTTGTCTGCCTGCCGCCTTGCGCCAGGCTTGGGACCCATTGCCTTGCCTAGGTAACATGGCTCAGGTGGCCCAGACAGGCTGAGGGCTCACCGGGGCACCCCGTGCTGCCAGCCGGAGCCAGCTCCTGTCCCTCTGACCTCTTAGACCTCGGCAGCCTCCCAGGACACCGCGAAGCAAGGGCGTTTGCTCTCCCGCCCAGGACAAGGGCGCTGGGTCTCCAACCCGACTCCAGCGCGGGCCCTCAACCTCAGAGCCCAAGTGGTCACCGGATGCCAGACCTGAGGACGCTGCGCGGCGCCCCGTTCTCCCTGGCCTACAGCAGTCTAGAAATCCTGCACCCAGAGCCATCAACCCGCAGCCGCAGTTCCTGAGCAATCCAAGCGCAGAGTTCTAGCGGCCAGCCTGACCTGACCGGCAACCTACAGCCCCTGCCCTGCTAGCCTCAGGCGACTTTCGGAGAAAGCGGGGACATCTGTGTTCCGCTCATTTCTTTCGCGTCCCCTTCTGGGGGTGCTGAGAGCAAGGGCCGGCGAAACCCCTGGGGAGAGGCTTCTGATCTGGAGGCTGGGGGAGGCCACAACCTCTTATTTTTGCCCCTCATCCCTGCTACTCTCCCTACCTCTAGCCCCACTCCTCACCCCTCCCCTCCCTCCAAACCTCGACCATCAATAATTTAGGCCCCGGGAGAACTCGCGTTACCGGTATGAAAAGGCGGCAGCTGCGGGCAGATTAAAGATGAATAATTCAGCCTCCCCGGGCTCCGGGCCCGGCCCCTCGTCCCCAATCTAAGGGAAGGGGATGGGAAGGGGGCACGGCAGGAGTCCAGGCCAGGGGGCCGGGAGCCGCCGATGAGTCGGGCCTGGAATGCGCCACTGCCGCCGGCGCGGACACGGGCTCCGGCTGCTTGCTGGCCCGCCCGCCCGCCCGCTTGCTCGCTCGCTCCGCGGTCTCTTCCTTCCTCCGACCGCCTTCAGCTCGCCTTGCTCCCCTTTGGGTTTCCAAGTGACACCCAGTGGGCAGCCGGGACTCGGCAGACTCCCCTGCGGAATCAGCCAGAGAGAAGGGCGAGAGCAGAGGCGGCGGAGCAGGGAGGCCGGCGGGCTGGGCGAAGACGGCGGGGTCGACCTGGTTCCACTCACTCCGAAAAGGAGACAGGATTTCTGGCTCAGCTCACGGAGATCCGCCGCGGCCAGAGGGCCCTGACTTGGATTAGCTGTGCTTAGAAATTCTTTAGGAAAATATATTTTATCCCAGGAGTATTTTTTGAAGCTCCCCCTGTAACGCTAATTATATGCTTATAGAAAAACACAACTCTTCCTCCTCGGCTCTCTTGTCCAGAGCACCGATCCAAGCCAGGTCTAAAAAAGTTTCCCTGTGAAAAGTTACAAACCATCCTTAATTATTAATCTACAGAGGAGGAGAAGTTTTCTATTTAGAATTCATTTATCTGGGAGAGAAAAAAAAAAAGCCTGCAAAAAACAATCTCCGAATTCTTCTCCAAGCTAAAGATATAGGACATGAATTAGATAAATTCAGATTTCATTAAAATAATTCCCTCTTTTTCTATTTTTTTTTTCATTTTTCTCCCCTTCTCTTTCTTCTGGAACATCCTTTCTGTTTTCTTTCTTTTATTTCCTTCCCCGTTTTTTTTTTTTCCTCTTTCCTTTCTCCCCAGCTTTGGCATTTGCTTGCCTTCCTTTTGTTTTTTTCCCCCCTCGTTTTCTCTCTCTTTGACTACCCACTGGCCAGGTCACTGGCTGGACCATTTTCACCAGGGAGTGGGAGGCCGGCAAGGAGCCTCCAGAACTGCAAGCGGAGCTTGGCTGTGCCCAGGGGCCGCCTGGCAGGCTCCTCTACTCCCATCTCTTGCTGACTTGGATTTCTCCTTGGAACCCCTCTTTGTTTTTAGAGCATCTCCCAGGGAGAGGCGGAGAAAGATGACCATCACATCCTGCCAATCTCAGACTCCCAACTCAAGGAGAAGGGAAGGGGAAGGAGAAGGGAAGGAGGTGGGAAAGAAAAGGAGAGGAAGGAAGTATTACAAACCAGCTCACAAGAAGCCCTGCCGGGGCTGGCACGGCCTGGAGGTGCTGGGAGCTGAGGGTCAGATGGGGGCACCCCACCCCCACACTCTTCTGCCTGATTGTCCTGACACTGAAGCTGCCCATGTTAGGAGTCTCCTCCTGGACAATCACACTCTAAGTTTGAGAAAGGTAGAGATGAATGGAGGGAGGGGGAGGTAGAGAGAGAGAGACAGAGAGAGAGAGAACACCACAACACAAACCCCTCAAAACTGCCTGCCAATTAGTCTCCCAGCCCAGGGCAAGAGGGTGACCAGGGAGTGGGATGGCTGGAGCCAGGACCAGGGGCTGTGGATCGATGACCTAAGAAGAAGCAGGTGGAAGGAAGGAAGACAGGTGATGGGCACCAGGGAAGGTAGGAAGGCTGGTAGAGGGAGAAGTACCAGGAACATAAGGCAGAAGAGAGAAACTGGAGGCTTTGAAAACACTGGAAAATGGGGGGAAGAGGAAGAACGAAGGGGGGAGGGCTAGAGAAGCCAGCGTGGTCCCCAAGGTGGGACCTGAGCGCAGGGGGCCAGGGCCACGCGGGGCGGGACAGGATAGGGTTAGGACGGGAAGCCCCGAGCCGGGACAGGAGCCGGGCGCGGGTACTCACGGTGCATCGCGGAGAAGGGGTCTGCTTTGCAGTGCATATCCATGGGGAGGCAGAGGAGCGGGAGCAGCGCGGCCGCCGCCGCCGTGTCGCCTCTCAAACTCAACTTCAGGACTTGAGGAGAAAAGGGAGGGACGTTGGGGAGGCAGGGGTGGGGGAGGTGA